AGATATACTAGTATATACTCCGTATGCAGGTGATGAAGGTATATTGCTGCATAAGTAAGGGAAATTGAAGATAGAAAAGTCAAAATTGGAAAATCTTTTTTTCAACATGATTTGAATTGCAAAATTTGCAAATAATTCTAAGGTTCATGTTTGCACTAATCTCTAATCAAATCAACCCGATGAAATCAACTCAGAATAATAAAACAGCAAGTTTGTCATTCTGATGCAGTTAACAATGAGAAATAAAAAGTTAAAAGTTAAGAGATTAAAATTATCTGTAAATATATTGCAACCAAACAGTCTACTATTTTTTTAATTGGTAATGTATTTCCAGTCGGGATCATTTAATTTACATTGGGTTAGGCTCAATTGCAGCGATTTCTTATAATAGGTCTTGGGTCTTTCCGTCAAAGGTCGGAAAAACAATCAAATCCATCAAAGGTCGAAAAAACAATCAAATCTTCCATAAGCACTAGTATTTAAATAATTCGATGATCTTGTACTTGTTTAAATGCCCCCCAAATATACTTTAAAACGCTCATAAAAACAGTAGATTGTTCATCTGAAATTGGCTACAGATACTAACAAAATATCACTGACCTATAAGCGGGTCAATAAATCATTCTCTAATTTACATGCAAAAAAATACAACAGACTTATAAACAGAACCGACGTACAGGCGAGTATAATGGTATACTGAAATGGATCATTATTTAGTGACAATTGCAGAAGAGACCGACTGAAATCTTTCTAGTTAGGAATAGAATTAAACACTCTTGAATAATATAAGAAATTATTGTGTCTAATTATTTCGAATTCATAATAGTATATTTCTTTGATATGCTTGCACGTTGGTTATATAAGGCGTGCCATTCTTGGCGCTACAAAATTAGATTTTAAATCGATTCCCCTTGGTCACTAGCTCATCTGATTCTATACATAGAAAGTAGCACAAGTGCAAGAAAAGAAAGAAACACAGAAGAGTTTGATGCAAACACGCTGTCCAAAATAAGCACGAGTTAGAGTTCTTATTGCAATGACATTTATTTTATTTTCATTTTTATCGATATAAATAAACAATACTTCGATTAGAAATACTTACTTTAGGACCCTGGGTAGCACATGTAAATTTGGATGGCTCCAAAAAAGGAGACAAAAAATCCTTTAGCTTCCCCAAAACCCTTAAGAAATATTGAACTTAACCAGCACTATTTAAAATATTTACTAATGTAAATAATCCCCAAACCATCCCATCCCGAAACATACAAACATACTTCGTCGTATTACTTCTCCTAAAATTGAAAACTTCCATTAAACTACAGCTTAGTCTGATCAGCATTTTTTAAAAACTTTTAACAGAAAGTCAGTGATGTTACACTGGACGACAAACTGAAATTTTCACGCCTGACCTCAAATAGCGGACATATCTCTAACAAAAAATACAATAGAAAACTATAGTTAAAGGCAAAGATTTTTTTACCGGGTGGTAAATTCCAGGTGAGGGAGGGGCTTATTTATAACAGGTGTGAATGCCTTGGGGGCTAGCAGTCTACCTTTGACCATCTGTCTCCTAATCCCTATACACAGGAAGTGATTTAATACACGATGGAATACCCCAAGTGTCAAACTTTAACTGTCTTAGAGATTTTGAGACAATTTTAAGATTAGTAATAAAAAAGTTTTACCATGTTTACTGGTCATCCCCTCCACTTTCATATATTGATTTATTTTTGACTGTTTGAAAACACCCCTACCCATTAAAAAAATATAAGAATATCATACTATAAATTTAGATTTTAAAACAAAGATTATTATAGATGTAAGTGTATGTGTTAATTTAAAAAAAACAACTCATGTAACAACCAAATTAGGCTTAATTCATTTATCCCCAGGATCCCATCTATTAATAAATTTAATGAAAAGAGAGCAGTGTTAGTTTAAATAACACTAAAATATCTTGGTTAATTCTAACCTTAATAAGGCTTTGTCATTATGAAACAGCTAAAAAATGCTTGAAAATTCTTATCTGAATAAAAAAAGAAAATATAAGTTTCCCATGATTAGAAACATTATTTTTAAACGCAATTACTTCACACAGTGCTGCTCTGAACTTTATCAATAACATTTCCACTTTAGGTTTATCAGCATTAGCATATTAAAATTAATATCGAAATTTCATTTGAAAAATGTTTTATATATGTACCAACGATTATTTTCAAAAAATGCATATTATATTATAATTCTTTCAAATACTAAAGGTATCTTTAATTCATATATTATCAATCTCAGTTAAAATTTTCATAGTAATACAGTTTCTGTGTACCATGTTCAGTAAACATCAAAGGACCAAAAGTTAATTACGAGTCCCAAACAAGGTGTATAGGGTATACACAGGGACCTGTAAGTAAGTGTCAATCAAGTTCCAGCATCCAATGATGGACTTTCAAGCACTTGATTGACGGGCTACCCAGACCAGAGATTTTTGAAGGCGGTGCTTAAAATCTCTGTTTTTAACAATAGTTTACTATAGTTAACTATAGAAGCAAAGTAAAACTTTGGAACTTTGATTTGCTATAGTGAAAACTTTAAAACTTTCATTTACAATCATCGTCGCAAACTACGGCCAAAATGTACGATCCTCTCCTTTTCTGGCCGCTATTGCATGAGACAAGAATATTTTGTAGCTCATTGAAGTATTGACCAATGCAAGTAAAGCATAGTTGGACATTGACCTTTCATGCGACCTTTCAATACCCATTCGCAGTGTACGAAATACTGCTGATGTAAGTTGCAATTAACAAACAGTTATTCAATTTTTCAAGATTTCAATTGCGATGGAAATAAACCTTATCATTGACTGAATATGACGACACAATAGAAAGGCGTAGATATTCAAGATTACGACACTTTTTATGATCAAGCAGTCACGGGTAGGAGCGAGTTTTTTTAAGACTCTGGACCGTGGCTTGAGACAATGATTTACAATGTACTATAGTGAAAATTTTGAAGTTTGATTTACTAATTATAGTGAAAAATTGGAACTTTGATTTACTACAGTGAAAACTTTAATTTGGATCTCTGATTACCTATTTGAAAAACGTTGGAACTTTGATGTAATTATGTATTCCTATTCATTGTATTTCATTATACTTCAAGGTTAAATTCAGAAAAGGTTCCAAATTTTTTTTAAGAACTTTCTAAAAGAATAATGTTCAAGAAAAGAATATTAATTCAAAGGTTGTCTCTTGTACTGAAAAAAAATAACTATTTATTTAAATCTATTTCATTTTATTGTAAGTCACATGTAAACTTAGTCTTATATATCGAAAGAAAAAAACATACTACAAAATGAAATATGCATCATTTATAATTAAAAAAATATCAGCTTTATCGGATTCAGTCAACATGCATTTTATTATTTGATATATACTTATATTCAAAATTGATTCTAAAATAATCATGCAACAGTAATGTATTCAAGAAACACTGATCACAAATAAAGGATAAATGAACCTTTTTCTCAAAATAATATATATTATTCAATGTATTATATTGAATTCGTTGTGTTATATATCCTTAAATATTAGTTTTTAAAATTGATGTCTCTCTTTTTCGAAATTTGAAGAAACAAAGCAGATTAAAAATACAATAGTGAAAATTATGAATTTATTTCTCGATATGTATATCTGAAAAGTTAATTGTGATATGTGTTAAGCTGTATCAAATCTAAAATTCAAAGTTTCGATAAAAATACTCAAATATATTATGTATATTTTAGGTTGATTATTCAAATCGTTGTATCAAATTAAAAGGAATTTGCTTGTTCACGTCTCTATATTCAGTGAAAAAAATGGTTCTTTTAAAGGAATTTGAATATCATTTTATTTATCTCTTTGTCTATATCTCTTTCTCTCAACTATCTGACTTTCTGTCTCTTAAACATCCGGGGCTAAAAGAAGTTCCCTTGACTAGCTAGAAAACTTCAATAATTATCATTTATATAGCACAAGGGCATATAACAATGTTTTGACAAGTGATATCTCATTGTTCAGGAAAGGTGGATGTGTGTTTCTCTTAGATATTACAAGCCATTTCTATATTTTATATCATTAAAGGTTGCAACTGCAACGCTTAATGATACACTAGTGTGTATCATTAGTCGTCGACTATGTCGATAATTGCTTGTTTCATTAAGTGTCAGTGTTGCATTGCATTTGTGACGCTTAATGATATAATTCTATCATTAAGGGGCGATTTAGCATTAGCGGTTGAGAATGTCAGCTATTAATGCAATAATTGATGGCATTAAGCGTTGCAATTGCAACGCTTAATGATATTTGTATCATTAGGCGTTTTATCATTAGAGGTTGCTACACTGCTCTCCATGGTAATTCTAATAACTGTTTCAATCAGTACGGCTTTTCTTTCGTCGAACGTAAAAGTGGAATTATAACGTTCCCTTGCATATGTTCCTTGTTTTACACCTCCAATGGCTGTTAATAGTTTATACATTTTTCGAAATCATGTAGCCTGTTCTCAATTAAACTCAGTTTATCTAGCTTTCGGTCACTTATTTCTCCATAAGGGTTTTCATAACGTCTTGCATATCACCCTGTGCTGGTCCCAGCGCACTAGCCGAGATGTGACATTTCACATATTTGTAGTAGGAGATACAAAACCGTTGGGTCAAGGTGGCCGATGAGGAAAATACGTAATAAATTGGGGGTTCCCTTGATAACCTGGATAGCTTGGTGTGGATTGTTTAATCGGTATCAAATTATTACATATTACACTATTATCCATTGGGGTAGCTTTTTCAGGTTCAAGATTTGTTTCTCCGTATTGACACGGTTGACTGACTTACATGAATGTTTTCCTTTTACTTAAACATTACTTAGCATCTGCTATTTACATAAAATGCCAAAAATATATCTTTTGATCAGACAATTAATCATTCATTACTTAGTTATCATTGTTATGCTCAAAAGAAAAAGGCTTACCCTAACAGCACATTTTCTCATGAAGGACTTTGATGCATCTGTCCAAATTGCTGGTACGGTTATAACCCATCGCAGACCATACTCATGGATGTTCAGGTTTGTAAAATGAATGTCCGATAGCATTTGTTCTCTCAGATGGCGGATAACAGAGCTAAAAACCAGGACTGCAGATAAAGTCTTCCTTCCGTCCAATGATTCTAATTGAAAATCATCACTAATTGTCTGCAATAGTAACAAAATTCTAATAATAATAGCATAACAAGGTCGCCTTTTATTACAGCATTCAGCCTTTTTTGCAATTTATTGAAACAATTTCAAATCCCCATCATGAAATCATTTCTGAATTTGTTAATGAGTAATGTCCATCTGTTCTATAAAGAAGAGGATTTGCTTTGGATATTTTTTCCATGTGAATTTCAGCTCAGATTAAGTAACAATGCGATAAATATTTTTAGACCCATGGTGTCCAATTATCTATTAAAGTAATGTCAATTCTAGGCAAAGAGATATATCAGAACGTCATGGATTGTGTCAGTTTTCAAATATTCTGACAAATTCTACAAAAGAAGCTACACTGTAGTATTTAAATATATTTATTCCATATCATATACAGAACGTAATGTCTGATCTAAAATGCCAACTTATTTGATGATAGATATGTTTCTGATGATTACAAAAACATTTTTTTCAAGGAATGCGCTTTTTTTATTATCTGCTCAAGGTACTCAAATCATTCTTTGAATTTTACGAATACTAGCTGAAATCTCGCGGAGGAAATACTGCCAACAAAACTATTCCAATAAATATCTTTCAGATTATACTGGGCGTTTACGATTGAGAGAAAAATTCTCCAGAGAAAAAAATCAATCAAGAAGATTCTACTGACCATTTAATATAGCATGACAAAATACTTCCAAGTCCCGTAAAAAGTTAAGCTCCCTTATATTGTTTTACTTCTACAAATATCAGTTTCATTATAACATTCTTCTTATGTGTTATGAAGCCATTTTATACTGTTGTACTATGTTATACCCTGTACAAGATTACTACGGATGCTCATTGACATTTTCTCTTTACATACAAGAAACTTTTAAACATATATTTTGAGTTATAGTATTGCTTATTACACTTCAAATGATTTTGTTTGCATGTTTAATCATGATAAGATAGCTGAATATAATTTTAAAGATCACCGGAAAATAATAAATCTACGTATATTTATTGGAAAATAGGTAAAGTTTTTAATTGGAGAGTTTCACCGGTTTCATTGAAATAGCGCGCTCACAGTAGACATGGTAGAACTTGTCCGCGAACTTTTCTAACAACCCTCGTATTATAATATGTCCTAAAAATCAAGGAAAATTAGAGAAAATTAGCCAATATCCATTTTAGATACATTATATACATTGTATGTCAATTTGGCTACCGTGATATCATCTTATAGGCCCTTCATTGTAGTATCCTTTTATGCAAAGAAAAAAAAATCAATCTTTTGAAATACATGTACAAAAAGGGATATAAAACGGTCAAATTTAATCTCACTGTTACAATTATTTATTGATATTGTCTTCTTTTTCCTGTGAAAAATTCATTAATTCTTAACAAGAAATATGAGAAGAATCCTACCTTAAGGCGACATCACGTTATATATGATGATCAAGGCAAGAGATTTCTTATCACCGTTTGTTTTATTTAAAACTTTATTTTAGATCAAAATATAATTGCTTTCTGATAAAATTCGCCTATTGGCTAATCGGTTTTATAGTTTGATCATCATTGACTCATAAACCTTGCATTCAACTGATTCCAGAAACAAACTTTTTGATTCGTATAATTAGGCCAAAAATATTAATTAATAGTTTCTCAGGCACCGCCGCATCAGTTCAAAAACGGCCGCATTGATCAATTTTATTGACATATTGAAAAGGGAAATAGCTCATTTTTTTTATTTTTCCAAGTTTAAAAGAAAATCGAGTTATTCCCCTTTTCATAAATGCATAAGAAAGAGTTTTTTTTTATTAGAAAAACAATATATTTCTTCTAAATTTAAAGTATTTAAAGAATTTACTTTTAAATAAATGTTTGTTCAGAATAACATTATTTAAAATTGAATATATATTAAAACTAATTTCAGATGCAAAAATTAAGAATTAGTAGATATTATCATTTTATTGAACAAATTGCTTAAAAAGGTGTAAAACCTGCTTCCAAAAAAAAAAAAAAAAATTGATGAATAAAGCCTGCCTGCCGCATTGAATTTTGAATTTTTTGGCCTAAGAAACTATTGATTAATTTCGTTTGGCCGTAAGGAAATGAATCTTTTTAATTACACAGAATGGTGGACAATTCTTTTGGTAATACATTTCCTTAACATATGACTACTTTCCTCCTCCAGAAACGTCAACATTATTCTGAGGAAAAAATACATGCGGCTCTGAAATTATTTAAAATTTTTATGACGAATTCATCTTGAAATTAAAAATGGTTCTATAATCAGGATATTCGATACGCAGTTATGATTTAAATTTTAAACAAAATGAAAATGTTTTATCCCCTCTCCATTATCTCTGTTCAAGTAAAGGTAGATTAAGATCATGATCAATTTTTAAATGGGAAGTCCTACACAAGTCTATTTAATCCTATTTTCCTTTGTAGAATATTCTTGAAAAAAAACCTGTATGATGTGTTCCATCTTAACATAATCAAGGATGATTTTTGTATGCAGAACTAAAGACTAGTCTTCATAAAATGACTTGTATCGTTGGTGCAAAAAATTGAGTTAAGAGATAAATGGATCTCTTATAATTTTTTCATAAGAAATCCTCATTTTATTTGGTAGAAAAAGATAATTACCGTTTCATTGTAAAGTTTCATTTTAAAATGTCGGAAAAAGAACCAGTCCTTATGATCCTCTGCCGAAGAAAGACTGACGTATTTGTCTTGTGCCTCATATCCAAAGGAATGAAAAGTCATCTCAGGTGTAAACAAGGCACAAGTTGGTATTTTAAGTGACTGCAATTGCCCAGAAGAAGCTGTCCAAGTTCTGTTTGAAATGGATGTCGGATCCTCATCATACTCATGTCTTGTTGAAAAAGCATACCCTGAATAAGTTGTTCCAAAGTCGATCGCACCAACTATTAAGTACTCATCTGAATGCATTTTGTAGCTGTCAATAAGATAGTCGGAATTAAATAATATTGATAATAATAATAATAATAATAATAATAATAATAATAATAATAATAATAATAATAATAATAACAGCAATAACAACAATAATAATATATATTTATGTTTTAGTAATGCATAACAAAATATCGATAATAAAGAATTAAAGACAAGTATTTAGGTTCCTCTCTGACCTTAATTCTTCTGTGGAGACAGTCCTTTTTATTACCCGTAAACGAGGTTTTGTGGATAAAAAATTTTGCCGTGTCTGTCCGTCTGTCTGTCTGGTTGTGCGCAAAAATTTTAACCTTATCAATAACTAGGTAAGAATAGCTTTTATATATCACAGGTGTGCTTTTCGTGACGAGATATTTCTTGGGTATCAGAGAATTTGACCACTTGACCTTTGAGTTTGACCACTTTTACATCAAAATTCCAAACTATTACTTTGGTAATAACTTTTGAACAATTAGTGTTAGGACTTTCATACCTGTACTTCAAATATGTATTCTATGTTACAGGATATTCCATTGGATACCAACAATTTTGACCAATTGACCTTGGAGATTGACCAACTTTTTAAAAAGCTTTATCCATGGCAATAACTTTGAATGGTAAAGGCTAATGCTTTAATAATTCTCGTATGTATTTCTTGTGACAATACCTTTCATTGGATATCAACAACTTTAACGACTTTGATGCTTTGACCTTGGAATTTAACATACTTAAAAAATTTAAAACTTGGCAATGACGCTTGAAGCTTGAACTTTTAAACTTCACATATGTATTCTTTGTTGCAAGACCTTTCATTGGCCTTTGACCTTGGAGATTGACCTACTTTGAATAAAAAACTTTAACCTCCATCATAACTTTTGAACGGTAAGGTGTAGGGCTTTCGTCCTACACATACATGTATATAATCCCTGTTACAAGAAATTTCCTGAGATGCCAACAACATTGAACCTTTGACACTGATCTTGGAGTTTTGCCTGCTATAAATTCTTTAACCTTGGCCATAACTTTTGAACAGGTGGTGCCATTTCACAATTGCATTTCATGTCGCCTTACTTTGGGTTTCAGCATATTTGATTTGCATTTGATAAAATTTAACATTAACTATGTTGCCATACGGGGCATCAGTGTTTCGCAAACACATCTAGTTTCTTGATATCTTCGACTCCTTAAACAAGATGTTTAGCCAAATTTGAGAGGTTCCAAATTGTTCGGAACATTTTATAAAACACATTTTGTTCAAAAAGCATCTCAAAATGTATATTAAATAAAGACGATTTTATAAACCCTCCGTGTCTACTGTGTCCGGTACATACGGATCATGTAATCTCATGTTTTTTCGCACTTTTTTTTTCTAAACGCTTGCAGATATTGAGCTAAAGAATCATATGTGAATGTATCTCAATAAGTTACAGATCAAGTTTAAATGCTGTTTCGCTTCATTCATTTTTGACAGAATTATGGCATTTTAAATTTTTCATAATAATTTAAGATAGGCTTCGTGTTCGCAAAATTCCGAAGGTCAACATTATGAATATGAAGCAAGAAAAAGACCAAGAGTTGAATTTTTGTGTACATGTGGATTATTTTTTTTAATTTAAAGGCATGCATAACTGAAAATCTTAATATCAAACAGTTTTACCTTGGTCATAACTTTTGCATATTATGAAATAACATTCTAAAGAAAAGGGGGAAATTGCTTATGGAATACTCTCAGAGTGCTTGTTATTTCTACCTCTGAAATTTTGAACGTTAAATGATTATAATAGTTTTTTACTATTGTCTCTCAGCCAGTATTCGACAAATATCCCAACTTTCAAGTAAAACTGTTATACAACACCATAATTCTGGTAAATTACTCTACGAAAAATTGAACGTAGATATCCAGGGAAAAAAAATGGAGAGAAAACTGAAAGTCTACACGACATATAATCAGAATCGTATTAAATATTGAGATGAGGTCAATTTTAAAGGTTTTAGAATCATGATTTTATTGACTTATAATTACTTATAATCATGAATGCTATTTTAAAAAGTAAAGAAAATCAATTCACAGATCATCGATATATATCATCCTTTAAATGCCGTTTCAACTTGCATGAATAAATCGTCTATATAACCAAAAAAGCATTGCTAAACAATATGCAAAAACGGCGTAATAGATTTTGTTTAAATATATAAGAATGCTGTGGTTTTTTTTTAAGAGACAGTTTTTATTTATAGATGTATACCTTGTATTTATTGAAACCATGGCAGTTTGTCCAGACAAGGTATCAACCAAGGTAAGCTCAATCATCGAACCTGGGATAGATACTTCAAGTTGTACTTTTCTCGTTTTCTTCGTAATTTTAGAAAGCCGCAGAGCAACATTTCCAAGATAAAAGCAACTTTTATCGTTAACAAGAATCGGATAAGCTTTTGTCGAGCCATAAATATAAATGGATATGCTTTTTGTATCGTTGTCTAGAATGAAGGTTCTTGTGACCTGCGTTTTTCCTTTTTCCAATGGTTGACCTATGCCAACCAACCGGTCGAAGTTTCCTCTTCCTATAGGAGTTTCGTCGGTTGAAAATGTATGTTTGTTGTAAACAGCAACACAACCATAGGTATAATTTGAAACTCTTTGCTGAATCATTAAGGGATTGTGTCCGAAAATTGCAGCACCCACAACAACTGAGACACCGGAGTTTTCTGGAATAATTAACCTGTAGGAAGTGAATTCACTGCCAATGGCATCAGTTATTATTCTGGATTCAGAGAATCCCCCGACAAGAATGATAATTTCGACATCTGTGGCATTTGGATGAGTTAAGACGTTGTGAAGATAACTGCTTATTTTGTAGATAGCCGGTTCTAAAAATTTTCTGAATGTCGCAAGAGTTATTTTTAATTTATTTCCAGTCAAAGTTACTCTCTCCTGATACATGATGGAAACTGCATCTATCATCTCTTTAAACTTTCCCACAGTGTAATTGGCAATTTCCAGCAACGAAGCAGGTATCCAACATGGAATAAATTTCCTTTGCAAGTCAACGGATGTTAATCTTGTTTGATTTTCAAAATCCTTACGAATTTCTAAAAAATCTTCTGATTCTTTTAATCTAAATTTCTTAAAGACTTCTTTTCCAAACAAGATCTCTAAAAATTTAACATATTCTTGAAAGGCTAAGGACCCACACCAATCCCCACCTGTTGATACGAAATGTTCCTTAGTTTTGCTATCTGGAAGTATCTCAAACACTGTAGCATTGACTGAGCCACCTATAAAAATGAAATGATTTATCTAAAGAAATATATTTCAAACAAAGGGGCTTTTGAAAGCATTCAAAAATTAAAAAAAAAAATTAAATATTTAGGAACAATTCTGGAGTCCTGAACTTAGATTCATGGAATTATAAACTTTGTAGAGATATAATACTGGTTCTTGGACTTGAAAATTGGTCATAGAAGGTACAGAAGACACATACTTATGAAATATATTTGATTATTATTTATATATGAATGTTGTCGCCGTCATGGCACAGTAGTTAGAGCTTCTGTTCTAGAGTCGCAAAGTAAGGAGTCAATCTTTACGTCGTAGGATCAAATTCCACTATGGGACGTGGAGACCGGTCCCCCGGATAAGACTTTATAAACGGAGGTCCTGTACGTGTCTCACAGAGTGCTGGCTCCTGAGTTCCTAGTGACGTTTCTTAATATCTCAGGTGAGATCAAAATCAATAAAATTGTATGATGAATGCCGAAATGGTTGCTTTTTAAATGCAGAACAACGGCATCGAAGATTGACGTTGGATTATTGTGACGTCACAATATTAATTGTTTCTCTGAAATATCGGACTTTCGCATGTGGAACCATCGCACTTTAGCGCATCGCGACTCATAGGAAACGAGCCATCGGACGTTGGCGTGACCATCGGGGTTTGGTGTCCGTAAAGATAGAAAGCAATCGGGGTTTCGCGAAGGACATCGGTTTTGGCGAGAGCATTGCACTTTGGCGTCAACATCGGTCTTTGGAGTCTTACAAAGAAAGGCAAATATTCACATTCTAATATGGCGAATTATTCAACGCGCAATTTATCTTAGGGACGACCCCTTTATTAGCATTCTAGCACATGGATAGCCTGACGTATGCCTATGGCATCCGATTTAACCTTGCTAATATATGTTTTTTGCCAGGACCTCAAGGTCCACGCAATATTACACGAGCCCTCCATGTCATTCCAATAGGCCTTGCACACTGAAGTTAATCACAAAGACAGCTGCACGAGTTTTACATGAATATTAAACCTCCTTAGCGCCGACTAATCACTATGCACAAGGACAAGATAGGTTAACGGCCAAATTTGGTTCTTTTTTAATGTAAAAATCAGATCACTTGTAAAGATTGTGATAGTTTGTCAACAAAAACCTAAAATGATACTTGCTTTAAAACCAGCACTATTTTGTACTCAAAGCTGACATGCATGGAAGCCACTAGAGGGTGCGTGCAGAAGTAGAAAAATTTTCCCGAATATCTTCAATTTTTGTGGAATTTAATCATATTTGAGGGCACAACCCTGCCTATCTAAGATTTTTACACATAAACTACATCTGATACTAGTTAATGAATAAAATATAAAAAAAAAAATTGCTAGATAGGCAAACTTGTGCTCTATGTTTCCCAAAGCAAAGTATGCTGTAAAATTGATGAAAAGAACTGTATGCGATATATTGCATATCTTTGCCCCCACAAAAGTCTAATTTTAAAAAAGTCTTGAAATGTGCTGAATTCTATAAATTTTATGAGAAATATAAATTAACAGAACATATTATAGTTCCAAAGTAGTTTATTGACAGTTTTTGTTTTTATGACGTCACAAACTAGTCCGAATTTATATCATTTTTCAGAAAGAGGACAAAATGGACAAAATTTCAACAATTTTAGTTTTAAAATCTATAGAGCACAAGCTTGCTCAGGAACAATATTTACATATTTCATTG